GGGGGTTGCACCGAAGATGACATAGGCCTGGATGCGTCCGGCCACTCCCTCAATCAGGACTGGCAAGTTCACCATCCAGCGAGCACATCCTTCTGCATCTCCTCCAAACCTGAACATTTTGTCACACCTTTTGAACTCTAAGCTGCTGAGGTCAAATCCTTTGCTGTGCAACCAACGAACATACCTGAGGAGGTATTCAGTGCCAAGAAGAAAACTCGAAGCACCTTGGTCCTGGATCGCAACGTCAGGCCGTTCAGTCAGCCAGCCTCCGGCTCTCACCAACTGATCACCCTGGGCATATGCCTCCTCAACATCATGGAACTCGTCCTCCTCTGTGTCATGGTATTGCACCTCGGATGTCATGACCATACCAGCCAAAAGTGGGTCTCCATCTTCCAGCACTCTCTTCTTTGCCGGGGATGTCGACTTGCTGCTGCAGTTCGCTGCCAAGTGCCCAACCTTTCCACACCTCAAACATGTTCTTGTCTCCATTGCTGGAAGTGCGTCTCGAGCTCTTGCCTTGCCGGTTGGACCTTTTCCACTTGTGGATGCCGATGAACTGCTTTTTCCGCTCTTTCCTTTTCCTTTTCTATTCTTGCCCTTCTTGCCTCCGCCATGGGGTGGTGAGGACGGAGACTGTGACGAGGGACTGTATGGCATCTGCCGTTGATCAACCATTGCAACAACTGGATAGAATCCTCTGGATTGTCGTAGCTGCTGCATCCTCTGCTTGGCGTCAGTGTATGCTGCATAAATCTGGTCAAACTCCTCCGTGTCAAACAGCGACTCATCTGCCTCTGCTGCCTCATAAAACACGGGGTCTTCCTCCTCCTGCCAGTATGTATCATAGGGGCTTTCATCTTCATCAGGCCAGGCCTCAGTGCCGTCTTCATCATAATATGCCTGATCATACTCCCAGTCACCTTCAGCTTCGGCTTCCTCTGTCACTGCATGAACGAGTCGGAGGTTTTTCCATCGTCCTTGCTGCAACGGAATCCGGCGTTGAGCGACGTGTGCATGTCGATGATCCTGCCCAAACAACAGATACAATGCTGGTTCAACTGCCGTCAATGTCAATGTAGTGCCGATGTGGGTCTGAACCATTGTTTGTTGTTCTCTTGTCAATGCGGCCCGTCTCAACATCAGCCATCCTGTCACTTCTGGTGGTAATGCAATCTTAAACTTCATCAACTCTCGAAGCGACTGGTTGAACTCTGTGCAGTATTCCAGGAGGGATTGCCCTTGCTTTCTGACCATCTTGAAGAAGAACTTCTCGAATGCTTCTGGCATCTCTACCTTCTCGTCGTACTGCCACTGTGCATCCAATCGTTTCAAAATAGCCAGGATGCCTTCTTCTTTGGCCAGTTCGCTGATCTCCAAATCTTCACACTGGCGCCACGAGGCGCCATCCAAGAGAGCGAGAACATTCAGGGCAGTCTCTTTTTCTCTTCCTTGCAACTTTTGACGGTGGGCATACAGCTGAACTCTCTTGCGCCACTCCTTGTATCCAACAGTTGTATTGTCAAACTTCGGTACGAAAAACTTGTCAGATGCGGAATCCGGTTGCCTCACTGGAGAGGCCTCCTGGGACATGGCTCCTAGGGCGCGCCGCTATTGGAGCCGACGTGTTGTCGGCTCCGCTACCAATGTGAAAGACAGGGTGTGCAAACCAAGTCTAATCCCAAGTACGCTCG